GAGAAAGAAAGAAAAAGAAAAGAAAAGAAAAGAAAAAGAAAGAAAAGAAAATAAAAGAAAAGAGAAGGGGATCCAAGGCCTAGAGAGGGTCCACGATTTGCCAAAGGTCACCCAGGAGCTGGAGGCAGGGAGGATGGCAGGCAAGCAGGGAGGGGGGGCCAATGAGGATGTGGGTAGAGGTCAAGGCTGAGGTATTGACCTGAATCCACAGATAGGCAGTGGAGCAAGAGGATCTCCAGCTGACATTGCCGCATTTCCCATGCCCAGAAGAGCTTGGCATTTGCCTCTCTGGAACTGCTCCTTCTGGGTTCCTAAGTTTGCAGTAGTTTCCCAGAAATGCTAGGTAAATATCCCCATTGTTTACTGAGTAACCAACCCCATAATCAGGCAAGAGTCCCCATACCAAGTGCTGCCTGGAGTTTGGCTCCTTCTGTAGGGATGCCTCTCCCAGGCACCACCCCAGGCAGATGCCCTCCACAAGGTCCCTTACCAAGGCCTTGCTAGGGGCTCTGCACCCCACCCCGTAGCGTGGCTTTGTCGGTCACAGCTCAGCATCCTCTTTGGAGAGTCAGCTCTTCCCAGCAGCCCCAAGAAATTGTGGTCTACAGAATATTTTCTACTTGGTACTTTTCTTCCCAACAAGCCAGATGTGGCTTGCCATTCCTATGTTACAAGAAGTCTTACTAACCTTTGACAATGTCCTGGGCTGGTGTTAACCCCGAACGTGGAGAAATTGGAGGCATTGTGGCTGTATGTTATGCTACTTGATCGTTTTTTCTGCGGGCTATGTTTTGTTTCTAGAGTTCCCCTCTCTGTATCCCCCTCCTGCCACCCCACTCCCCTCATCCTCAGGAAAGAAGAATGTGTCCTCATGGAAGATGTCTGTCTTCTGCCTGAGTTATTGCAAGCTTCTTAACCTATCCTAAACTCGTGTGTCCTGAGCTCTCTGCCTCCTGCTTAGAGTTCATGTGTGAACTCTTTTGCCCATCCCCAGTAGGGGATCCTCTAGTGTAGACATCCACCTGAAGGTAAAGACTTCACTAACTGACTTCTCAAGACTTCTCTCTTCAAGGATACTTAACCTTGTGATCTGGACATAGGTGATACCAGAATTCTATATTTCTGATTTAGTAACTCAGATTTCACCATGCTAGAATTCTGGGATGCTAAGATTCCATGACTATGGATTCTATGCATTTAGAATTTTATGGTTTTTGTGTTTTCATGAATTTGTCATTGACATAGTAACATTAACCAGGACTCACTTGTCCTGGGTTTTTGTGTTTACTTTCCGGAGGATACAAGTCTCAGATCTGGACTCTCTTCCCTGAATTTGCTGAAGGCAGAGGAAGAGGATTGTTGGGTAGGTAAAAGATAGCATTCCCACTTCCCCTGGGACCCTAGGGGGGTGAAATATGCCCAGGGCAGCCCAGTCTGAGGCCCCAACCCTCAATCCACCTCTATCTTCCCAAGTCCCTCATTTGGGCTTCTAGTAACTGAGGGGAGCAGGAAAAGCAGGCTCTTTTGCGCCCCTCCACCCAGCTTCCTTTCCTCCCTGGCCTGCCCCAGCTGGGATCTCTGCACAGAAAGTTAACTGGGAGACTGACCCGGTCAAGTGGGCAGAGGGGGAGGGAGGGTTGAGCACCTGGCAGGGAGCCAATGAAGTAGGTATGGGAAGTTCCCCAGGGAGCCCTGCAGCTTTCTCTGAAGGTGAGGAAGAAACAGAGGACGGAAGTGGGGGTGTGGGTGAGGGTACTGGTAAGGGTGGGGTGACCCGTTATAGCATTGTAGGGCTGGAGCTGGGCTTCCGGGCATTGACCCACTGGTGACAAGGGACCTCCAGCCTGGCGCCCTGGGGTCGGTCTGTTCCCGACCCTACCCATTGTCCCAAACACAAACTGTGTCTTTGCCTGAATCAGACTCCCAGGAAAACCCAGAGGGCAGGAATTGGGGACCCGGAGCCTGGCCCTCCAGCACTCCTTCCTGGGAGGGCCCACTCAGGCCACAAAAGGGAGCAGGACTTTCCAAGGATCACACTGGGGTTCGGGGCAGAACAAGTATGGAATTACGGGCTCCTGCTTCCAGCCCAGAGCTGTCCCCCCACACACACTCCAAAGGGCCCGAGTGTGACACAATGCTCCCCCAACAAGACAGCCGCAGCGGGCTCTGGGTGGGAAGAGAGCGCCCCGGGCCGCCTCCCCAGGGTGTCCGGACCCCGTCCTCCAGCCCTGGGCTCTCCCTGAAGCTGCCAAACCCAATTTTACGGTGGCTGCCCTGGAGGCTGGCTGGAGCAGGAAGCATCCTCTGGGCTAGGGCCCCTTGGGGCACTGTCCTCCTCCCTCTTGCCCTCCCACACCGGAACCACCAGCACTTCCTCCTGCACCTGTCTGCCCTGCCCTCTTGGCCTGGGCACCGAGAGGCACGGCCCCTCTCCAGTTTCCGTCTTCCAGCTGAGCCTGGAGACAGGGACCGACTACCAGGGACCGACTCCCAGGGATCAACTGTGTTGGGGTTCCGGAGAAAAGGGGCCTGGAATAGCAGGGGCCACTGCTGGGCTGTCGGGTTGGCGCAGTGTTGGGAGCACAGACCGGGGCCCAGGGGGAAGCTCTGCTCTGTGGAATTGTGGAGTGTGGCTGTTGGGGCTCAAGGTGCCCCTCTGCTTTCCTCAGGTTATCCCCACGAGGCAGAAAGAGACAGGACATCCCAGACCAAACCCCCTTGTTACCAGCCTTCAGAGTCCTTGCCGCAGTTTGGCTCAGTGCCTGCGTGATCTGTTTAATGTCTGTCCCCTCTGAGCCGTAACCCCCACCCGAAGAACCCCGCTGTGTTGCACACTGCTCTACCTCCAGAAGCTGGCACCCTCCCTGGCACATGGCAGGCTCTACTGACGGTGAGACTTTCAGATTGAAAAGCAGAAGCAGAGGCACCCCTAGGGGCTGGACGCCAGCCGGGTCTGCTCACCTAGCCCAGGCCCCTGCTCCCCGTGGCCACATGGCCGACGCCTCTTCCTCGGGGGTCCTCAACCTCCAGGGAGCTCTGGTGGGGTGGGGATGGGAGAGCTGTACCCGGTCATCCAGGGGTCACCTAGCCTGGAGTGGTGGGTGCCCTCTGGCTGCGGCTGCCTCTGGGAGTCTGGAAGGGGAGGGGCCTTGGAGGAGCCCGTCATTGCAGAGGGAGCTAAAAATAGCCAGAAGAGATGATGTCATCAGGTTCCCACAGCTCAGCACACCCCCCCCCATCACACACATACACACACATTCTCACAGACACAGATACACACAGACACAGGTGTGGGCACACACACACACACACACACACACATACTCATAGGGGAGGGAAGCTTCTGGGTTCCAGGGCCGCAGGGGCAGGGAAGTCTGGTGAGTGTGTCTGCATGTGTGCGTGCATCTGTGTGTGCCTGGGTTTGCATGAGTGTGATTGCATGTGTCTATAGGCTCATGTGCTTGTCCAGATGCATGCATGTTTATGTCTGTGTGTGCTCTTTTGTAAGCATGTGCATGTGTTGTTACACACGCCATGTGGGGAGGTCCACGTGCATTAGTGGCAGTGTGTATCTCTGTTTATAAGCATGTACTTGCAAGCACCTGTGTTTGTTGCATTGTGTGTCTGGGAGTCTACTTATATTTACATGTCTGCATATGTTCATGGACTGTGACATGTGTCTGTAAATGTGTGGGCCCCTTTGTGGGCCTTGGGCACTAGCCCAGCCACATTCCTGGTTTAACTGAGGTTCAGCGCCACTTTCCCCAGACCCCCAAGAGCTTCTTCCCCCCAGCCTGTGCAGTCTGGATACGAAACGAAACATCAGTGACTTCTCTGCCTTCCCTCCTCTCAGGGTCCCAGTCTCTGGCAGGCCTTGGAGTAGAAGGACACAGACACCATTCATTTTCAAATTCAATTCAAAACCTCACAGGCCTCCTGAACCCCAGGAGGCCAGGCCAAGGCCCTCAGGCTTCACTCTCACCCCCAACCCTCAGGGAAAGGAGCCCCAGACACACACCCATGCATAAAGTGACACCTTAGGGAAGAGTCCCTCCCAGTGTTTCCCTGCCACTGAGATATAACTCCGTGGAGACACACCCCACAGAAACCCAGTTACACCTGATGACACATAGGCACACGCTCAGAAAATCCAAATGGAAAATCCCCAGGCCAGAGTGCTTAGCGCCCTCCCCCTTTCTGGACTCAAACTCAGTCTTGCCCCACCCCTAACCGCCCCAGCTCAGCTGACAGTCCTGGAAAACACTGGCCTCGGAGAAGACCTAGGGGGCTGAAGGTGGTTCGCCCCCCTCGGAAGCAATCCCTTCCTGCTTCTGGCGGCCCCCACCCCATTCCTGACCTTCATTCCACTTAGTGAGCTGACACCTCTCTCTGGCACACCCAAACCCTTACGGACACACCCTGATACTCTGCAGCCACAGAGGCACACTCAGCCCTTGTCTGCTCACACTCTCATTGTCCTGGTTTCACACACACACATTCAGACACACACACCAACATCTGCATCTGCACACTGACCGGCACAGGCACAGAGCCACATACAGCTCACCTCCAAGCGCTCATGAAGTCACTCTGGCAATGAAATCTCTCTCATCCTACCCCTTTCTGATCAGTGCCCCTCCCTCCCTCCTCAAGGACCCGGCTCCCTATAACTTCCAAGATGTCTAAGGAGATCCTTTGCCCCTACCTCACAGGGCAGATCGAAAGCTGAGGCCAAAGATGGAGAAATGGTGTGTGTTGCCTGCGAGTCCTGTCCTTCCATTGTCTAACTGTGATAGCTGCTGTCATCACTGAAGCCTGTCCCTGGGAGCGGTCAGCCCCAACCCTGCCCTCATACTCTGCATAGTTGTCTGAAACACCTTGGAGCGGAGTAAGGCAGTCAGAGCAGAAATGAGTGTATTTGTCTGCTGTTAACCACCCATGACCTTTAGGAGATGCAGGTCCGGAGCCAGCCAAGCTTCTGGACTAGTTTCTGGACACTTCTAGAGGATCAGAAAGCTGCCAGGTTGACAGAGGTGTCTGAGAACTGAGGAGAGGAAGGAGAGGGAAGAGTGTGAGGAAGACAGCAGTTCTGGAAGCTCCACTGTTCTTAGATCCACAGTTCCCTAGGCCCTCCACTTCCAGCCAATACCTCTCATAAGGCTCCAAGCCTTCAGGATGTCTGTCATCAAGACCCTACCATACTTTTGGGGTGGTATTTCACACAGGTTGTGCCCCCTAGAGTGCCCACACAGCAGGGCCAAGGGTGGGGGAAAACCAATGGCCCTGTCTTTCCACCCACTCCCCACCCTGCCTCAGGACCCTTGGCTAACCTTGTGGCGGAAAGATCCATATGCTCGTGGTGGCAGTATGAATGTTGTTGATACCTGTGCCAATGGTGACAAGATTGGTGGCTGCAGTGGTGGCAGCTGGGCCTTGGGGTTTCTGCCGATACCTTCTGCGGCTACACTTGAACATCCTGGGAAACCGAGGCCGAGGCCAACCCAGCCCTGGCCTGCGGTAAGGGGAACTTAAGCCCCGGGGCCGAGGGGCACGGACCAACTGAGAAGGTCCCATGGGCACAGGGAGCTTCTGTGGTGTGCCTGAGGCTGCTCCTGGCCAGGGCAGCTGGGGCCTCTATGACATAGAGGCTGCATTAGGGTGGTGCTCTTTATTGTAGGTCCTGGTCCCCAGCCCCTCCCCACAGGTCAGGCTCCCCAACGGTTCTCTCCATGGGTCCAGCCCAAGAGCCAGCAAAACCTCAGCTTGGCCCCTAGAGAAAAGGAATTCTGAGTAGGGGACATTTACTCCCTCGCTTTCTCATTCACCCACATAGACAATATTAACAATGTTTATTAAGCTTCTGCTGTGTGCCAAACAGTGCCGGGTATTTTACAAACACTCTCATTAATCCCACAACAACCCTACAAGGAGACTCTATCATTCCTATTTCACATACAGTCGATTCTCATTATTCACAGTAGCTATGTTCTAATGAAGTCCCCGCCACAAATAGCACATTAGCAAATCGAGCCAATGCACCTATAGGATTAGATTCCTACCAGCCTCTGGTCACATTTTTGTCAACTGATCAATCTGGACATGACCTTGTTTTATGTGTATTTCTGTTTATAGACACCTAATTTAAAGTATATTGTTGTTGAGTCACTAACATTGAACTCACAGTCAACAGCACTCTAACTTGTTACCTGGATGACGTTTATCTAACATACTTCCTCTGTAAGGCCCATCACAGCCTTCTTGTGCTCAGAAACATGAGACAGCACTTCAGCATTATTTGAATAACAGCATTATTTGATAAATCACCAACAAGAAGCATAAAAATGCAAAAAAAAAAAGTGACACTGAATAGACCACAAGAACATATGTTTACATGGTAAGAGGTAGAACAGGGAGGCAGAGTAGCCTCTTGTTCGGCCTCAGCTGAGAACACGTGAATGACGCAGCTCAACATTTTTGCAGCTCTACAAATGTCCATGAATGACCGCAAAAGTGACATGAGTATTGGTGCGGGGTTACAAATAAATTCTAGTAAATTCGCAGGTATGGAAGCCATGAATAAAAAGGATTGATTGTATAAGGAAACTGAGGCTCAGTTAGGTGAGGTCACACAACCAGAGGCAGGCAGGGGTTCAAATCCCTGGTGGCCAAGGTCTAAAGCCCAGACATTTAACTCTTGCTGTTCTGTGCTCATTTATTCATCCCATCAATCAGGAATTGTTCACTAAAAACTTCATATGTGCTGGGCACTGGGGTCATAGATGGAGCTGACCTGGCTCTGATGCTTCCTGAGGGAAAAGAGAAAGCCATGTGGATAATTAGTGCTAGGTTCCCAGAGGGATGTAAGTTGTGTCAACCCTGGGTGTATCTCCTTTCCTGCGGGAGAGAGGAACATCCATGGCTCTGGCAGGCTTTGCACCGAGTTGCTGTGGAACAGTGGACCTCAGCCCCCTCTCTCCCTCTTACTCTACCTCCAGCCCTCCTTCCCAGCCTCCAGCTTTTCTCTGTTCCTGCTAGGAGACTTTGGGGTCCCCAGCACCACCCTAAAGGCCTCACTTGCTATCCGTCTTAGAAAATGGACCTTGCTCCCATCGACTTCCAGCCATTACACCTGTAACCCCACTTGCTCTTGGCCATTTTCTTCCTCAAGTCCCAGACCAAGGCCTCCTCTCCTGCTCTTTCTGGAAGTCGGCTCTTCCTGCCTTCGTAGTGATTCCATCACTATAGACAGTCGGCTTGGTGGTTAAGATACAGACTCTGGCACGAGAATGACTCAGGGTGAATCCTGGCTTTGCCACGTACAGGCTGTGTGATCACGGCAAGTACTCAACCTTCCTGTGCCCCTGTCTCCTGATATTTAAAAATGGAATAAAAGAGATTTACAACAATCTCATAGGATTGTTGTAAAAAAAGGGGGGGGGAGACCATATATGTAATGCATGTAAAACGTGATCTACACAGATACTAGTGTTATTGGCCCCCTCTCTCCCGTTTCTTCAGCTGCTCCCTGTCATTGCAAAAAACCAAAAACTAGTGTCAACTGTATTCAAAAATTTTTTAAATTGTAAAAGTCCACTTTGTCCACCCCACACCCCCTCTGGCTATGACTCTCTCCACTCTGACATTCCCACTCTGGGGTCATTCCCATTTGTCTCAGAGTGGGGAGAGAATCTTATTTAAAATCCCTAGAACTATTCTGTTTAATAGACTAGGAAACAGGTTTAAAATTGAGCCTGAGCAATACCCCTGGAGTCCCACAGCTAGGAGGCTGCGGAACCAGCCTGGGAGTACCTGGTCCCAGGGACTCCAAAGCCAGAACTTCCCCACTACCTGCAGGTCGGGAGCGCTAGAGTGGAAATAGGGCCACAGGACTCACAGTGCAAAGAGATGGGCAGGGGTTTGCCGGCTTGGAGTTGGGGTGCCGCTTTCATGGGATTAGGGTGCCACCTGCCGACGGAAAGGGGCGTCCTTGACACATAGCTGAACACGCTGGAAGGAGGGGAAGCGAGAGAAAGTACGGGGAGGGAGACGAGTAAGGAGGAAAGATAAATGGAGGAGAAAGATGGGGAAATCAAGATTTTGTAGAGGAAAAAGGACTAGGGGTCATTTGCTACTCAGAGGAGGGAGTAGAAGCTGCTAAACCTGGGTCATTTCCCAGAAAGTGTGTGTAAGAGAGACAAAGAGACAGAGACAGAAACAGAGAGGCTTTAAGTATGTGCCTCAGATGTTGCTTTGTTGTTTCTTAGTTGCTGGGAGTCAGTCCACACACAGTGTCAAGTGTGTGTGATGGGTGTGCGTATGTATTTGCACACTCACGAGCACTGGCAGGGGGTTACATATGTGCGTGTGACTGGAGAGGGCAGCTCGGGCAGGTGCGCCTGTGAACACGCAGGGCAGGTGCACGGAGCGGCAGGTGTAGGCTAGGGAGCTACCGCGCACCGCTGTGGGGAGGGCACGCAGAAATTCCAGGGGCCGCTCTTTACCCTCAGACTTCTCTTCCTTCTCCAGATCAGGAAGGGTGTTGCTGCGGTTGGCGTTGCCAGGCCGACGGGGCCTGCTGCTCCTGTGACTATGGGGATAGATCTCCCGGCAGCAGGGGGCAGCAGGGCAAGAGGAGGCTGACTGGCTGCTGGGTGGGGCGGGCGGGAAGGCATAGAGAGGACTTTAAAACTCCTGCCCCGCCTGCAGGTGAGCATTGGTGCCTGAGAGCCAGCTCTGTCTCCCTGCCTGCCCACTCAAGTGGCGATTCCCTGGAGTTGTCTGTGCCCTCTGGAGCCTCAGCAGATCCTTCTTTCAGAACTCACTACCGAGAGCCCTGAACAGGTGATGCCACAGGATAGGGATTATCCTGTGAGGCAAAGTTAATCTGGAAATGGGTTTGGGAAGCTGAAGACCAACGGGGAGGGTAATGAAAGAGCCCAGGGCTGGCTTGGCGGAGGAGTCCGGGGTATACAGGTGCCAAGGAAGGGCCTGGAGTGACCTCTAGTCTGGATGTTGGGCTTGGGGTGCCAGTGGAGAAACCTGCGGGGGTTTAGTGTGTCAGAGTGTCGGGTGCTGGGAGAGGGCCTGGGCAGTACAGCGAGCCAGGGGTGTCAGGATAGGACTTAGGAACAGTCCTGAGGTGTCAGAGTCTAGAGGCAGGGGAATTTGGGTGGTTTACAGGTTCTGGACGCTGGAGTCTGATATGTCAGGGCCCAAATGCCAGGGCCAGCCCAGGTGGCTGCTGAGGTGGCTGGCCCAAATTCCTAACTCACACTTGTCTGCCTCCTAGAAGCCACCATGCGGTGCTTCGGCTTCATTAAAACGATGATGATCCTCTTCAATTTCCTCATCTTTGTAAGTATGGGGGCTGTGGGTTCTTTGGGCCTCCCTGCAGAAGTGGGTCACAACCTAAGCAGAGCCTAAGCTGCGAAATGGGAGATCGCTGTGCCCAGACTCTGTTGCACAAGGTTCCCATGAGGATAGGGTACAGAAGTCTCCCCAGATGCTGAGTTCCGGTCTCAGGAGCACAAGTTGGGGTGGAAAAGCTTAAGAGAAGCCCCTCCCTTACAGGAAGTTTTAGTCTCGACATAGGGCAGGGTGGAGTAGGCTAACAGGAGTGACTGTCCCCATTTTATAGTCATTGGGGGCCCAGGGAGGGGAAGAGTTTTGCCCAAGCTTGCCTAGAGTACAAGGAAATTCAGTGGCCTCAGTAGGATGGACAAGGAACTGAAAGGAGAGATGCCCAGAGACCCCAGAGCAGAGAGTCTGCCTCAAGCAACCCTTATTCATTCAACAAACATGTGTTGCCTAAGACGCTGGGGAGAAAGGTAAGTGAGCCCTTTCTTTGCCCTTGAGGATCTCAGGTCCAGCAGGCCAGATGGACAGACAGTTGCAACTATTAGGTCTGGCCTTAGCACAGGGGCAATGGGAGCCCCCAGGAAGGGCTTGATCCCTGGTCAGAGAAGACTATCTGGAGGAAATAGCTGAGGCTGGGCATTTGCACTGAGTGAGGGTCGCAAACCATGAAAAAGGCCCAGAGGCAATGAAATCAGGTATTGTTCAGAAAACCAGGAACAGATTGTATAGGGCATGTCTGAGGAAGCTGAGTAATGAGGCATGAACCCTGGAGATGGTGGTGGAGATGGGGAGAAATGGACCAAGGACAAAGCCCTCGGATGGTGGCCGAGGGACAGACAGAGGGGCAGGGGAGACAGAGGCTTTGAAGATAAAGCCTGTGTCTCTACTATGAGCGACCCAGGGGATGGGCCCCGGGCAGCTGAGTACCCAAGGGGGTTGCAGCTCCAGTTGGAGCTGGACGTGGATATTTGGAAGTCATATGACCACAAAGGGTCAGCGAGGCCATGGGAGAGGGTAAGAGCACACAGGCTGAGCGAATCCTGCGAAACCCAACTTGTACAGGGTATGTGGAGAAATGGCCACCAGGAAGCAGACAGAAAAAAAGCAATAGAAAAAAAAAAGAAAGAAGAAAGAAAGAAAGAAAGAAAGAAAGAAAGAAAGAAAGAAAGAAAGAAAGAAAAAGAGCAATAGGAGGAAAAGAGGGAGAACATGGCCGCAGAGAGGCCAGGAGGGTATGGCGCAGGAAGCATCCACCAGATTTAGCACAAGACAGCATCACAGACCTTGGAGCCAAATTAGAATGGCTTAAGTGAAAGAAAAAAAAATGACTTAAGTGAGTGGAGGTCGAGGAAGTGGAGACATGAAGTGTAGAGGACTTTGGGGAAATTGGGCTGCAGGTGTTACCTCCCTGACTCCGGGGTGGTCCATTCCTTGGGCTTCTTCGGGCTCCAGGGAACTAACCTTTATCCATATATCTGGACAAGGCAAACAGATCCCAGGGATATGGAGAGCAGGTGTTCTGGCCCGAGGGGGTTAAAAGCAAATCCAGTTTGGTTTCTGGCCTCTGTTGCTCAGGCTTTGCCAGGCTGGGCAGGGCAGAGCAGGTCTAGGGCTCCTTGAAATTTGACCCTGTAGGCTGGGAGCCTGGCTCTCTGTCCTTGGACAAACATGCCTGGGATCCAGCCACAATCTGCACCTCACTCCTGGTTCTAGCCTCAGTTTCTACAGCTGGGGACTAGACACCAACGTAGTAGCGGGTTCATTCTTCCGCTGATGCTCTGGGTCAGCAAGGCTTTGCTCTAAGAGCTGTGGCATCTGGAGAGTGTATCTCCTACCCCGTCTGGGCCTCTGGGTTCCCTGAGGTCTTGGGGTTGAGCCGGAGGGCCTCTACAAGAAGCCCTGGCTGTACCCCTCCTCTGGTGCCCCATTTTTCCTGGTGAGGCAAGGAGAGGTCTCAGTTAGATGAAGGGTAGGGGCAGCGCTGGTGGCGCAGCAGTTTAGCGCCGCCTGTGGCCCAGGGCATGATCCTGGAGTCCCAGGATCGAGTCCCACATCGGGCTCCCTGCATGGAGCCTGCTTCTCCCTCTGCCTGTGTCTCTGCCTCTCTCTCTCTCTCTGCATCTCTATGAATAAACAAAATCTTAATAAAATAAAACTTTATAAAAGTGTGTCTTAAACACACTTATAAAAAAAAAAAAAGATGAAGGGTAGGCCTGGAGTTTGATCCTACAGAGAAGCCAAATGAGCCCTCAAGGTAGGTGTCCCTTCTCACCAAGTTCCTCTCCAGGGTTGGAAGCAGATGTAAACCTCAGCCCCTCCTCTGCTGCTATGGTGACTCTCACCTATGGGAGGACAAAGGTGCTTGGCTGGGCAAGGAAATGGGGGGAGGGGGGCCTTGTTAGCCTCACCTGCTTGTTTTCATTCCTAGTTATGCGGCAGGACCCTGACAGCAGTGAGGAAAAGTCTTGCCTTGCCCTCCCCCAACCTGTGGATATTTCTGGAACCCCTGATCCCATTTATAATCGGCATTGATGTGCAGCCTGGTACTGGCTATGGGTGGCCCAGCTCCCATCCTTCTGGCTCCACAGAACGTTTTTCCTCCCTACAGGATGAGTTTTTACAGTCCTTAGCCAATAAAGGGAGAAATTTCTTGTTTCCCACCTTCCTGATTCAACTGCGTGGTAAGAAGCTGCTTGCCTGCACTGTTTTAAGGCCTGCCTCTCTGTCCCCAGCTGTGTGGTGTTGCCTTGTTGGCAGTGGGCATCTGGGTGTCAGTCGATGGGCCATCTTTCCTGAAGATCTTTGGGCCGCTGTCATCCAGTGCCATGCAGTTCGTCAACGTCGGCTACTTCCTCATCGCAGCCGGTGCTATACTCTTCGCTCTTGGTTTCCTGGGCTGCTACGGTGCTCACTCGGAGAACAAGTGCGCCCTTATGATGGTGCGTCAAGCCCAGCTCCACAGGCCTGTAACCAAGACCCAGGGTCCCCTGACCCCAGAATCCAGGCCCCGGGGATCCCCAGACCAAGCTCTGGACTCCAGGGCCCTCGGTAGAAGGGGCTGCTGCCCATTTTACTGGGTGGCGGGTCACAAGTGAGGCACGAGGGACTTCCTCTGTCTCAAACTCAGACCTCTGTTCCCCGCTCAGTTCTTCTTGATCCTCCTCCTCATCTTCATCGCGGAGGTGGCAGCTGCTGTGGTGGCCCTGGTGTACACTACAATGGTGAGGAGCGGGATTGGGCAAGGGGGAAAGCTGGGGAGGATCCCTGCAGGTGGGCTGTGGCCTGTGAATGACCACTGGCCACCGTCCCTACTGGGCCCTAAGCACTGGCCCACCCCACCCAGGCCGAGCACTTCCTGACGTTGCTGGTCGTGCCCGCCATCAAGCAGGACTATGGCTCCCAGAAGGACTTCACGCAAGTGTGGAACAGCACCATGGCAGGGGTAAGGTGGGCTGGGGGAGACCCTGCAGGGGCAAGAAAGTGCAAGACCCTACTGACCACCCTGCCCTCCTCATCTTCAGCTCGGGTGCTGTGGCTTCAACAACTACACGGACTTTGAGGGCTCCCCCTACTTCCTGAGGAACCATACCTTTCCCCCATACTGTTGCTTCGACAGTGGCAATGGCACAGCCACAGAAGCCTGCACAGAGGAGAGGGCTAAGGACAAGATTGTACAGGTGTGGTATGGAAAGCGGGGGGCTGCTTTGATGGCCTTAAGTGCTGCATGAAGAGGGGGTGCAGCTGCTGACTGGGGACCTCTCTCCCCTCCCCCAAGGGTTGTTTCAGTCAGCTTCTGTATGACCTCCGGGCCAACTCGGTCACTGTGGGGGGCGTGGCAGCCGGAATCGGGGCCTTGGAGGTAAGGGGGTGGGGAGGTCAGGGTAGCCCCACTGGACCGGGGTGCTTGAGCCATCTTGGAGGCCTTGCTGAAGGAGACAGACTTCTCACAAAGCTTCAGAGAGGGTGTCTGGGTGGCAGGGGACTAAAAGTAAAGACCCTTTGCCTGTTCCTTTCCCACCAGCTGGCTGCCATGATTGTGTCCATGTATCTGTACTGCAATCTGAAATAAGTCTGCTCTGCCTCCGCCACTGCTGATGCCACACACGAACTGAGGAGAGGCACCCTGGCACTGCCAGGTGGCAGTGATTAGGGTGGGGACAGGATCTAACAGTGTCACTTGGGCCAGAGTGGGCCGGCCTTGCTGCTCTGGACTGGTGGCCAAATAGGGGATCGCCCCCTTCAAGCTGTGCCTGACTTTTCCTTCCATTGGTGGGCTTGGGGCCTGAAGCAGCCAGTTCTCCTGCCCCAACCTCCAGTCTGTCCCTGAAACGCTTGACACCGCCTCAGGCCCAGGTGTGCTCTTGCTGATCCCAGCAGCCTCCTGGGGGATAAGAGAAAGACACCCTATAGTACGGGCATGTGCAAAACCAGCAGTCACCAGGCGGATATGTAGAAGGCACTTCAGAACCCAATACCCAATTAAAATGTCTCCATTTGGAACTCTTCTCGTGTATCCTTGGAGAGGCAGGCCCGTCTTGCCTAACCTGGCCCTCAGATTCCCAAGGGGCTGGTGACTCACAAGGCTCCTGAAAAGGGAAGGCACTAGTTCGCAGGAGGGAAATAGGGTGGAGGTAGGTGCCTCTATCTCCCCTTTGCTTGAATTCCAGGCCTGGGAGGGAGCCTAACAGGGAGGACCAAGAGGGCACTCAGGGAAGAGTTGGGGGCTGGGCCAGTCTGCCTCCTCGAATGTGGGAGGACTTTGGCCTGAAACTACCCCCTCCTGGGTAGGGGCAATGGACTGGAAAGCTATGAAAATAACAAGCCTGTGCCCACATGGGGGCGGAGAGACAGAAATACTGCCAAGGCAATGGGAGGGGGTCGCTTCTTAGGCTTTGGAAGCCCTCCAGAAGCCCCCATCAGAGGCTCTGAGCTGCCTACCCTTCTCACTCGGGCAAAGTCCTACACCTGGTACCTGCTCTGGGGATTTTAGAAAGAACTTCATTCTTGGTCTTGGCTTGCCTCTGGGACTCGACAGATCTGATCTCTTAATCTTAACCACCTCCATGGTACAGAAGCTGGGCCTAGAAAGTCCGAGGGACTTGTTCCATGTCCATGACCTCCCTGGAGGGCTGAGGAGCCTTGATCTGGGCCCAGGCTGTCTGACTCCGGAGCCTGGGGGGTCCTGGCTGACGTGGAAGACCAGAATATCCCAAACATAGATCTGACTGCGGCTGAACCAGGACCCACAGCACCAACAAGGGAGGAAAACCCAGCCTGGCAAATCAGTCGTCCTCCTTGCTGACCCCTCATCCTTCCTCCCTGGCTTTTCTAGGGCAGCCCAGAACTACTACCCCTTCCCCTTGCTGAACCCAAGAAGGAACAGAAACCTGGCCAGAGCCACACAGGGCCCCAGAGCCAGTCTGAGGCTAGCCCAGGAGCCTGCTGCGGGGGCCTGGCAGGGAGGGAGGCTAGGGCCTCCCCGCCTTCACCACCGGACCATCTCTCACACACCAGGTGCCTACAGAGAGCTGCAGGAGATTGTTTGCCCAGGGCGGACCTCCGCCTCCTCACTGGCTAACCGCTCGCCCCCGGCTCTAACAGTACCTCAAGTACTCTATCTCTAGCAAACACTGAAGGCGGAAAGAAACGGTCCCAGCAGCACACCACCTGTGTCACTGTGTCACTGTGGAGCTGGGCTCCAGGCACCAGTGGGGGAGGGTGGAGTAGAACTGGTGAAAGGGCAGGAGTTCTAGGCCATTCCTGCCTTCCTGGCCAGGGCTCTACATAAGGAGCTCACCAGGCTCACCTTGAAAGGACAGCAGGCTGACCCCTTCTCAAGAGGTGTGTCCCATACTCACCTCTGATCCTAAGTCCTGTACAGATCCCTTAAACGTCCTGCCCCCTGCCTTAGGGGGCCTTAGTGGCTTTCTCACCCACTACCTGTAGACAATCCCATTCATTTCCTGGTTCTTCTATGACTTAGATCTTCCTAATCTCTTTGGGTCACTGGGCTGGGTGAGAATCTGACAAAAATGATGGGTTTTCTCCAGAAAAATGCCTAGACATGGAATCTGCATACGAAGCACCCTAAGGGCCACAGATCCTTTCTCTTACAACTCCCATCTGCAGCCCAGTCCTAGCCTCCTGAATAATACTGGTCTGGTTCTGGTTCACCCACTTCCTTTATATCCCCACTAGTCTCCCTTGCTCTCCCATTGCCTCCCTCACCCCCGAGGATTCCTTTTTGCTCTCTTGCTCCATCTCTGGGGACAGGTACCTGCCCAGACAAGCTAGGCAAGTGAACAGCCCCATGGGGAAGGGGTTTGAGGTAGCTGCTCTAAGCTTAGCCTCAAGTAGGGTGAGGCTAGGGTCAAGTTCATGTCCTAAGGTGGAGCTAGGGAAAAATCCTGGAGTTTGAGACTTGGGCATCCCCTGGTGGCCAAATGGCCCCAAATGGAAGCTAAATCCTGTGGAGGACAGTAAGGAAATCTCACTATCCATCATAACCATTCTCTCTCCTACTTACCGATTTTTCTCTTTCTCACACTCACATACCCCCCCCCCGCCAATCATAAAACACATCCCTGGAGGTTTTCTCCTTTTTTAATCAATGACCACCTTATCCAGCTTTGGAAACCTGGACAAAGGGGAGGCTGAGAAGAGGCCTGGTTCCGTGTCTGAGGGTCTCTGAGTGAGTCTGCATCAGCAGGTGGGCCCCAGCGGGCCTGTCCATGGGTTGGGCACAGCAGGTTCCTGAGTAAGAGCCAGCCCCACCCTCAGGGCAGCACCCCAGCCAAGAAAGGAGTCAAGGCCCTATAGGCTTCAGCCTGTTCCCAAGGCCCTCAGGACAGTCAATAAATAGGTTAGATTCTGAGCCAGGCCTGGGAGGAGGGTGTGTGCAAAGGGCAGGATCAGCTGCCCAGGGACCCCAATGATTCCCAGGTACTATCCTGCCCCTTCCCAACAGGAAAGTAAATAAATAGACCTCCAACTCAGGTATAGGGGCGTTGGAGCAGGGGAAGCCTCCCCTTTGGGTTAGTAATTAAGTCTCATGTTAAAAACAAGCCAGCGCCAACCCCGACCAGTGTCTACAAAATCCTACAGGATGGGGTGAAGGGCTAGCCTGCCTGGGGGTACACAGTACCCAGCCCTGCAGGGTCCTGAAGGAGGTCTCATGTCTGTTCTGCGGCTCCTGGGACTCCCTCTTCCTTTGGAGGTGGCTCCAGGAAAATTGGGGTGATTGATGGTGGCTTCTTCACCCTGGGAAGATAATTTGACAATGTATAGGGAAGAGGTAATCCCACTAGTCTCCCACTTCCCGGGGCAGAAAAGAGTCACTCACGAGTAGGGGGAGGCTGGGACGCCCACCACCAGGAAGTGATTCTTCTTTCGAAACAACCTCCACAGGCCCCGGTGGTTGCCACGCACATCCAGGTCCCAGATACGGAGGCACTGGAAGAAGTGGGTGGGGGGAGAGGCAATGATCAGAGAGCCGCAGGGGCAGGAGGGGGTGCAACTGAGGACCCTTGGTCCAGCCCCCACCCCTCCTCTGCAGTCTCCTCAATCTTCAAGATGTAGCATCTTCTAGAATATGGTATTGGACAAAGGGGCTGGAAGAGGGGTTCCCAGAGTCTGAAGAGGAGGTTCTAAGGTAGAAGATTCCAGAACAAAGGTATCTGGTGGGAGTGTTAATGGGGCACCTTGGCAAGCTGGGTCCAGGTGGTGAAGTCATCATCCTTCTCCATTCGGATGAAGGCCACATAGGTGTGGCCCTCTGTGTCTGGCAGGAACGAGTCTTCACAAGGGTTCCTGCTGTGGTCCAGAACCTCAGCCTCACTGCAGCAGGGGGGAGGGGGTAGAAAGGCCAGGATGGAGCCTGCCTCACGGGTCTGGTAAACCAGGCCCTGCGCTTACTTTTTTTTTTTTTTTAATGTTTTATTTATTTATTCATGAGAGACAGAGAGAGAGAGAGAGAGAGAGGCAGAGACACAGGCAGAGGGAGAAGCAGGCTCCATGCAGGGAGCCTGGCATGGGACTCGATCCCGGGACTCCAGGATCATGCCCTGGGCTGAAGGCAGGCGCCAAACCACTGAGCCACCCAGGCTGCCTTCTGCGCTTACTTTAATGCTGTGCTATCGCTGTCCTGAAATTCTTAATTTTTGAACAAGATGCCCTGATTTTCATTTTGCAGTGGGTCACAGCGCCAAGACCCCCGGTTTTCGCCTCCTCACTCCCTGCCATACATCCCGACTGCCAGAGGCCATACCTGAGCAGCCTGTGAATTTCCACTTCATAAGCTTCCTTCTTCAGACTGAAGGAGAAGGGAAGATGGGTCAGGAGAAGGGGCGAGCCTTCAGGTTCCAGGGGCGAGGTGAAGGATCACGTGGGAATTCGGGGGCAGGAGGGCCGGGGTAAGAAACAGGCCCCAGGGTTGGCAGGGAATACTGGGGATTGGTCATCAAGGGTCCTCTGCCCTGTCCCCAGCCCCCACCTGTCCACGTTCCTGAGCTGGACACCTGGAACCGTGTTGAACTTGTGCTTCTTGAAGTAGGCCTCCTGGAGCAGGTGTGAGGGTGAACATCTGGCCTTCCAGGTGGGGCCCGTACCCCCCGCTGACCCACCACAAGCCCCACAGATGAAGTCCTGGACCCACAGAAGTCCCTCTCACTGCTCCCGGCCCCTGCCTCCGTCTTCCCCATCCTCTTCTTCGTAGCATCCTTGGCAGGCTCTTACTAGCTTTAATTTGGGCTCCACCATCGCTAGAGAGCTCATGCCCACATGGCAGCTCAAGCTACTGACCCCTGAGGTAGTCCCTGTTCCCAGGGGCAGTCCTTGGGTCTGCTGTTGTAGAGCCACAGAAGGCAGGAACGGGCCCTACCAGGCCTGGTACGCAAAAGGATAGGCTGTGCTGAGGGGGAAGCAAGTGCTGTGACTGAGGTACCAACAGGGACCTCAGGGAAGCACCTGCCCCTCTGTGGGAGGTGACTGGGGTCTTGTGTAAGCCAGCCTTCCGGGCTTCAGGGTCCTTTTGGCTTCTAGGAGGTTTCGAGCTGTTCATCTGTTCCTTCAGGCTGGGCTGTCTCAAGGCACACTCTTGCTGTAACTGAGGACTGGCCCTTTAGGCACAGCTGGGGAAGGCATGGTGGGACCGAGGACGTCCCTGTTCATGCCAGGCGGAGGCGTGGGCCCCCACATTTGCAAGGACAGGAGAGGGCAGGGCTGCGTAAGTGCCGGGTGGCAGAAATACCCTCCCCACACCCACAGTCTGGTGCTAAGAATAGTAATAATAAAAATAATACCAGCTAACCCTTATATAATGCTTGCAGTTCAAAGCATTTTACATATAGTAACTCATTTAAACCTCAGAGTCTCAAAACCTTATGAGGTAGGCAGTATTTTTATCCACATTTTTAAAAATAAAGAAACTGAGGCAAAAGAAGATAAGACACGTTCCCCCGGGCTGCTCCGGAGCCCGTGCTCTCGCTCCATCC